ATGGACTTGAGCTCACTTTGTAGCCCAGGCTGGTCTCAAACTTGCAGCGATCCTCCTGCCTCAGCCTCCTGAGTGCTGGGATTACAAGTGTGTGCCACCACGCCCAGCCTAGTATTAAGATCTTCGATGCTCATGAATTTGATAGTCATGGTAAACTTTGCAGTTTGAAGACACAGTATCATGCCTGCGGAGTGAACTACTATTCCCAGAGTGCTTCTCTAGGAGCCTTCTGGGAAGTGTGGCAGAAATATGTTTTTAATGACCATAGAGATTACATTTCCCAGAGTGTGTCTATAGAATTCTGGGAAGTGTGGCAGAAGCAGCAGTGGTCCCTCTGGGGAAGGAAAACAGTTTAAACTTGAACGTTTGGTGTTCCCTGGTTACTGCTGACTTTTGAGGCCTGGGAAGCCACCCCTAAAAGAATTCAGAGTGAGTACAGTAAAAAAGAAACCTGTTCAGGTGTTAAGTGCAGGGACGGAGGCATAATTGAACTTGACAAAAGCTCTTGGTTACAGCATTTTACAGTTTTAGTTTAGTTTCTCTTTTGCAAAAAGCAGGAGAATGATCAGTTTTGCTCTTGTGGAACATTCTCATTAGATAAAACTAATAATTTTTCTAACATTTCATTGGCAGGCTCATTAGATGTATATATCGCTTAAATTGTTAATCATAAGAAATTGTTAAACTTAAAAATGGGAGTTACGAACTTCTCACCAATTGCTTTAGCAATCTTTATCCCCTACAAGGGTTAAAGGAGGAAAAATTATCTTTTAGAATTCAAACCAGAGTTTTTCATGTAAGCACGGTCACAGAAACCTTGAAATCTGTATTTCACTGATTGCTCAGTTCTGCATAGCCGCCCATTCCATTGAGGTCCACAGTCATAGAAACAGGGTGTCTCCAAAGTGCTCCCCGGATGAATGAGAACCTTGCCTCTTCGCACTGAAAGTTAACATGAAGATTAGAGAGGAGCTTCTCACTTTTCTTGGGGGTCTTTTCATGCTCTTGTGCCACACAACAATCCTTCTGGCATTACGAACAGTACAAGAAATGCGTGTGAATTATTTACATTACAGATCTTTTACATTTACATGACAGGGTTCAGAGAAATTGTTAATCTTAACGACCCTGCCTCATCATTTACTGTATTAGCCTTAGATAAAAATAATATTACCTTTCATAGCTATCATTCTTTGTACTTTTGAAAAACAAATAGTTGAAGCCATGATAACCTACAAACAATTAAGGTTAATTTAACAATAGAAACAATTTGTTTTACTAGTTGAAACAACGGGCAGCCCAGTACAGTGAGCCATACATATTAGTCAGTGACCACAACCAAATAGTTCTTGCAGTTCTCAGGACCCAAGAACTCACCAAAGGAATTTCTTGTGGCTCATGGGAAATATGGCGAGGTGTCTCTGGTAATAGTGGCTTAGAAATAGACTCACTGAGAAGTTAGTCCCAGGAGCTATTATTTTCTTACACTTTCTTTCTTAAAAAGAATATGTATATATAGCTTAAATTTTTGTAAATGTAGAAATGAATAAAGTAAAAACCACAGGTACCCCCTTTCAATCTGTATCTCCTTCCCTTTATCCCAACATAGTCACAGTTACTAGTTTAGTGTATTTGAACAATATTAATACATAACTAATTTATATATACTAGAATATATATGTTATAGTCAGGGTTTGCAAGGCAATAGATATAGTACAGCACACCTAATTTATAGGATTATTTTATAATACTCACCCAAAGAGTCAAATACAGAAGAGTGCAGAAGATCTGGCCATACACTAGAGACCCAAAGAATCCAGTGGAGGGCCTGGATGCCATGGCAGTGTCTTGCATGAGTGCAGCTGGGGAGAAAAAATCAATTTCTTATGATTAGAGCCCATGACAATGCCTCGTGCAAGTCTGTGTCAAGATCTGCACTGGAAGGCCCAAAGGCCAGTGGTGGGAGACAGAAAGTCTGAGCCAGCGGAATGAAGGATGTGCACTGGAGCCAGGAAGCAACGCTCAGGTAAGGACCAGAGGTCCCCCGCAAAAGAACGGCAGCCATCCTCAGTGACAGCAAGGACCCAGACTCTCTGACGATGAGAATAGCTGAGTTCATATCAGGAAAACCAGCACGACAAGCTTCTCCAGGAGAATCAACAGCACCATCTTCCCGTTCAGTTCTCCTTTTATGCTGCTGGCAACAATCCTCAGGTGGTCCTTCCGCACCCAGCACCTTGCTGATTAAATTCAGCTGGGTGTTACAAGTTGCCCATTAGTTAATCCACCACAATCCACCCCTGGCCCACTTGATAACTAGACATACTTCCTTTTTTTGTTTGTTTTTTTTTTGTGGTTGTTGTTGTTTTTTTTTTTCCGGTACCGGGAATGGAATTCATGACCTTGCGCTTGCCAGGCAGGCGCTGTGCCACTGAGCTAAATCCCCAGCCCCCTAGACATACTTCCTTAAACCATAGTCTCCAGTGGCAGATTTGTGAAAGTTAATATGTCTTGATCTATTCAGATTTACACTAACAATTACATATACAAATTCTTTTCTTTTTTTACATATACGAATTCTTATTGCACTCATTTCCACACCAAAAGCAAACACTCAGGGTGCTCAGAACCCAAGGTTAAAATCCACTATACTTTGACTAAAAAACCTGATTACAAACATGTATCTAAAAACTACATTAAAATCATATTAAGAGAGCTATTACAATTACAATCCTTGCTTTCCATTAACTTTTAAAAACAGCGTGGCAACACTTACACTTCCAAGGGATCTCCAGCATTTCAAATACACCCTTCCCTTCTGGTGAGAGGCCTCTGGTCATTTTTTAAATTGTCCTTTTCCTTCTTAACAACCATGTTCTCCTCTGTTTCATCCTTGTAATCCATGGCTCCACTGGAGCCTTCCCTCTGGTCAAATGCTTCAAATCTCCCTGCTGGCTCTGTCTTTAATTTCCAAGACAGATCTGGCCCAAAGCCCTCAACAGTAACCATGCCACCATCCCGACAGTAGACTGCATTGAAATTTTTCTACCATCCAGGCAATATCTCTAAACACAAGCAAAATGCAGACCAACTTCCTGCCAAACCACAATATACACTGCCTGGGACCCAGCAGCCAATTTAGTCCTCAATAGAAGCTCCCTGAGCCTCATCCTAAGCAGCCGTATTGTCACCAGTACTCTGATTTTCCAGGCTTTGACCAGCATCTCCCGTATAGTTTACAGCATATGGCTGCCTCTTTGACCAGTGTCAAAACTTTTCCAAATTATTTCCCAAGGCTTTTACGCCACATGGCCAGGCAGTGTCACAGTAATGACTTCACTCCTGGTACCAATTTTATTGTAGTCAGGGTTTGCAAGGAAATATATTTAAATATAGGACAGATAATTTTTAGGATTATTTTTATAATACTCACCCAAAGAGTCAAATACAGAAGAGTGCAGAAGATCTGGCCACACACTAGAGGCCCAAAGAATCCAGCTGAGGGCCTGCATCCCATGGCAATGTCCTGCACGAGTCCAGCTGGAGGCCTAGAGCCCACGACAATGTCTCATGCAAGTCTGCATCAAGAATCTGCACTGGGAAGGCCCAAAGGTCAGTGGTGGGAGATAGAAAATCTGTGCCAGTGGGGTGAAGGATCTGCACTGGAGCCAGGAAGCAATGCTCAAGGTAAGGACCAGCGCTCCCGCAAAAGGTATCGCAGCCATCCTCAGTGACAGTGAGGACCTGAGCTCCTCCGACAATGAGAACAGTTGAGTTCATATCAGGAAAACCAGCACAACAAGCTTCTCCAGGAGAATCAACAGTACCATCTTCCCGTCCAGCTCTCCTTTTATGCTGCTGGCAACAGTCCTCAGGTGGGCCTTCCGCACCCAGAACTGCACTGATTCAGTTCAGCTGTGTGTTATAAAGTGCCATCCACAATATATACGTGCTATTCTTTATAAGTTAATTAGAGCATGTTGACCAACCAAATATTTCTTCCTTTCTTTTTCCCTCCAGTTTAAGGTACAACTGACAAATAAAAATTGTATTTACTGAGCACAATGTGATATTTTGATATATGGATACATTATAAAATTAGTAAATATCCATCATCTCACATACTTGTCTTTTTATTGTGGTGAAGACATAAGATTTACTGTATTAAGATTTAGATTTAACATTAAGATTTACTGTATTAGTAATTTTCAGTTACACAATACTTTTTTTTTTTTTTTTGTCTTTTTGAGACAGGGTCTTGCTATGCAGTTCAGGCTGGGCTTCAGCTCACTGTGTAACCCAGGCTGGTCTCAAACTCGCAACTATCCTCCTGCCTCAGCCTCCCAAGTTCTGGGATTACAGGCGTGTGCCACCACACCTGGCTTATTACTATTAACTGTAGTCACCATGCAATAAATAGATCTCCAGAACTAATTTATCATAACTGAAACTTTGTATCCTTTAACAACATCTCCCCACTACCCCCTGTACTTTTCTTAAAATGTATTCTGAATAACCTTCTCTGTTACTCCATGTATATTTCTTCACTGTTATATTATTTTCTATTTTTATCTGGTGCATAGTGTTCCATTTATAATATTTTTATTAACATTCCTTTTTGTTTGTTTTTCTTTGTTAGGATATAGCAACATAGGCCAGGCCAGCCTTGAACTTGCTATAGACCTGAGGCTGGCCTCAAACTCATGATCATCCTGCCTCAACTTCTCAAGTGCTAGAATTATAGGTGTGTACCATCTTGCCCAGTTTATTAACATTCTTGTACATATTGGTTCCTTCCTAGAAAAAAATTCATGGAAGTGGAATTGTTAGGTGAAAGGTGTGCTTGTTTAATATTTTAGCAGGTAACCCTACATTAATTTTCAAAAATATGTACCAATTTATGTTTTCTGAGTTATAGGTGAGCTACAAATACTGACTTTTTATACATTCTTTTCAATATATCACGTAAGTCCTTGCATTATTTTAAAAAATAGGGATTATATATGGCTGGACATAGTGACACATGCTTGTGATCCCAGCTACTAGAAAGGCTAAGGTTGAGACTAGCCTGGACTACATAGCAAGACTCTCTCAAAAAAATTTTAGAAAAAGAAAATTGCCCTTCTCTTGCCTCCTGATACTTGTCAGCCCTAATCTACTTTTTAATCAGTCTAATCTGGAATTTCTAGAATTTCTAGAATATTAATAGAATCTTTTGCATCTGGTTTCTGTCACTTAACATAAAGCACTTGAAGACATCTGTGTTATTGCATTTTATGTTTGTTCTTTTTTTGTTGCTGAGTAATATTCCATTGTATGGATGTACAGTATTAGTTTATCCATGCATTAGCTAATAGGTATGTGAGCTTTTTCCAGTATTTGAAAATTACTAATATCTTGAATAAAGAATCTCTGAATAGGGGCTAGGGATTTAGCTCAGTGGCACAGCACCTGCCTGGCAAGCACAAGGTTGTGAGTTCGATTCCTGTACTGGAAAAAAAATGAACCCCCCCCCACAAAAAAAAAGAATCTCTGAATATAAGCACAAAAACTTTTTAGTTAAAAAAATAAAATAAGGATTATACTTTTAATACTATCTCAGAGTGCTTTGTAACCTGCATATCACATACAGTTTCCTGTGAAAGGTATACATTTGGTTTTTTCTCACCTGCTAGCGTTCCTTAAAGCAGAGATTTTCATTTTTCACATTTTTGTGTTCCTTAAGAGATCTTGCTATCCTAGCATTTGGGAGGCTGAGGGAGGAGGATTGCCACAGGTTAGAGGTCAGCTTGAGCAACACAGTGAGTTCCAGGCCACCTGAACTACACAGCAAGACCCTGTCTCAGAAAAAAAAAAAAATCAGAGACAGAGAGAGAGAAATAACTTCACCTTAAGTCAGTAGCCAATAAATATTTTGTTGACTCTCATTTGCTAAGTATATTTAGCACACAGATTGCAGTCAAAACTATTCAAGGATTAGTCATCAGTGACTCATAATTATGCAACCAAGAAATAGTCCTGAACTTCAGATATTCCCTTGGTAGGTTAATGTCAAAGCTTGCTTCTGTTGGGCACAGTTAAAAGGGTGGTTGGCTATTTAACTGTACTGATTTTTTTTTCACATTTTCAGTGGAATTTCTTCACATTTTTACTCCTAAAATGAATGGTACCTTTCCTGGGAAATAAAATGCTTACTAATAGACAAATTAAAAGGAACCACTGGCATCAGGATACAGCTCAGTGGTGCAGCACTTCCCTAGCAGGTGTGAGGCCCTAGGTGCAGTACCTAGCACCACTTTTAAAAAGAGAAAGAAACCATCTTCTGCACAATGAATTCCTCAGACAGATATATTTTCTTTCCCAATGAGCTAGAAAAAAATTAGAAAATTTGTTGGATCCATATGAATTTCATAACTGTCTTTTGAAATATTTTCTTGTTTCTGTTTTTGTTTTTGTTCCGGTACCAGGAATCAAACTCACGACCTTGCACTTGCCAGGCAGACACTGTGCCACTGAGCTAAATCCCCAGCCCCCTTGAAATATTTTCTTAATGGCTATGATTTAAAATTTTTCTTACCCTACTGGATTTCTGTCTACTTCTCAGAGGTATATTGGTTTTTATTTACTCTGAGAAACTTGGTTTCATTACTCTGGAGATATCCCAGGCTTGTTACTTGGTCTATTTGTCAGCGTAATACTAGCTGCTATAACAGACAAATTTCAGAATTTCAGTGGCCAGGGGCTGGGAGTATAGTTCAGTGGTAGAGCCCATGCTTAGTATGCATGAGTCCCTGAGTTCAATCCCACCACCAAAATATAAATAATAAATTAAAAATTCAGTGGCTTAATATAGTAGAAGTTTTTATTATCTGTTGTGGTGTTTGAGATTGAACCAAGACCTTGTACATGCCAAGCCACTCTACTACTGAGTTACTTCTCCCGGCCAACCTGCTCGAAGTTTATTTTTCACTGACAAATAAATAGTCCAGTGCAGAGGGTCTTTGGTTGGCGAGTGGCTTTTATCCATGTGTGAGTGAAGGACTTAGGGTTCTATATCTAATAACTCTACCTTTTACCTTGGTATCTTCTAAGTAGAAGGGAAAAAAGAGGGGAAATAAGGTATACCCCCTCCTCTTTCTTTTCTCCTGGTACTTTGGTTTCAACCCATGGCCTTCACATGGAGCTATATTCCCTGCCCTTTTTTAAATCTTACAACAGGTTCTCATTAAACTGCCTGGGGTGGGCTCAAAATTGCAATTCTCCAGTCTCAGTCTCCCAGAGTGCCAGGATTACAGGTGGGCGCCACCATACGCCAGCTTATACCCTCTTCTTAATTGATTCAGCCTAGAAGGGATAGTCGTCCCTACCTCGATACAGAAGAGATGGAGGCCTTGGTTGGCAGCCACCTCCCACTAACAGTCTATGATATGAGGGAGGAGTCTATATTTTTTGTGGATAATTTGCTGATTCCCACAACTTTTAGCATGGCTAAACAGGTTTCAATTTCGTAGATTTGGAAAGAAGTATCAGTTAATGGTAGAAATGCAATGGAGAAGCCTAATCACCTGAGTCCTATTTAGTTTCTCTTTTCTTAGTATTGCTAAGTGATTCTATCCTAGCTTAAAATATAACTCCCTTGGTGATTCATTACTTTAAATTGTGTACTACGACTTTTTAAACTTCTTTTTTTTCTCTAGGGACCTGGTAATGTCTCTGTATTGTGGAATAGCTTGCAGAAGAAAAATTTTACAGTGCTCTAGATTGCTGTCAACCTATGTCACTAAGACACGGTGAGTTTTGACCAACCTGAGCTCTGACTGTTGTTGTTGTGTTCTATTATAAAATTGAAATATCTCAAAATCCCATATCAAAGATGGGTGATAAAATTACTCATAAGAATGATCATTGTAGACCTGGGCATGGTAGTGCACGCCTGTAATCCCAGCACTTGGGAGGCTGAGGCAGGAGGATCTGTGCAAGTCTGAGGCCAGCCTGGGCTACAAAGTGAGCTCAAGGCCAGCCTGAATTGCATAGTGAGACCCTGACTCAAAAAGACAAAAAAGAGAGAGAGAGAGAGAGAGAGAGAGAATGATTATTGAAATTGCTTACAATTAAAAAAAAATTTAACAAAGTTTCCTATAATATCAGTGACATGACTTTGTCTTTTCTAGTGTAGTACCCTTAGTGGATAAAACAGTGCCTACCACATAACATGCACTGAAGTACTGCTGAATGAATGCACAATGAGGGAGAAATTAAAATACATATATATAATGGAATAATAAACTCCTTAAGAGCTATACTGAATGATATTTCATGAAGTTTCCTGGAAATACTATGAATAACTCCAACATACCCTCATCCTGGTGACATCTGAAATCACTCGCCTGCTTTCATCTAGTTGTAGGATTTAAATTTATACCATTTGTGTGGTATGGCCCAAGATTACCCTCAACCTATGAAATGAATTTTTGACTATTAAGCCTAGACTGGCAGTATCTTTTTGTTGTTGTTTGTTTTTTGTTTTTTTTTTTTTTTTTTTTTTTGTCTTTTTGAGACAGGGTCTCACTATGCAGTTCATGCTGGCCTTGAGCTCACTTTGTAGCCCAGGCTGGCCTCGAACTTGCACAGATCCTCCTGCCTCTGCCTCCCAAGTGTTGGGATTACAGGCGTGCGCCACCACGCCTGGCTGGGGCACCTTGCAAGTGCACATGTAAATCCCTTTAGGAGCAATACATGCACAACCAGGACTTCCCATTAGAAAGGCCAGTCTTGAGGGCACAGTCCAAAATTTAGTGGTACAAAAGCATAAAATCCTTCACAAGCAAGAGTAAACAAATAACAAAATTACAATATTTATTTTAGGTATCAATACATTTAGGTTGCCTGTGCTTTTTCAGACTGAAAATTCAAGAACAAGAATAGAATTATTGACTAAAGTGTAACAAATATCTTGAAGTGGTTAAGTATATTTAAAGTGAATCAAAAAAATAAAAATAGTTTTTAAAAAAGAATCAGAATCATGAGAAAAGCAAAAAAAGTTTGTCAATAAACAATGATGTAGAGCATGTTTAAGAAAAAAAAGGCTTCAGATGAGCAGGCATGATTGACTCTAAATATATACATTGGTGCATAACATTAATAGTTAATATTGCAGACTGCAAACAGTGCTCATCTCTAACTGGTGAGGTTGCTAATGGTTTCCTTTTTTATAAAAATTGGCAATTATATTTTCTACTTTTTAAAGAATGACTATTTTTTACTCTTATAATAAGAAAAACTACTTAAAGTTTAAAAATAAATATTTTCAAGCTGGGCATGGTGGCACACACCTGTAATCCCAGCACTTGGGAGGCTGAGGCAGGAAGATTGTTGTGAGTTCGAGGCCAGCCTGGGCTACAAAGTGAGCTCAACGCCAGCCTGAACTGCATAGTGAGACCCTGTCTCAAAAAGACAAAAAATAAAAATAAAAATAAATATTTTCAGCCCTGATAATCAGTACAGTGGTTTGCTTGCTATTATAACTAAAGGAAGAAAGTGAATTTTTGAAGAGAGTTCCTAAAAAAATAAATGAAATAAAAAATAGAGCTTGTTATTGAGAAGAATGTATGAACTTTCAGATCTCAGTTCCAGCTCCAGTGATACCCTGTTTAAGACCTTACCCTGTATGTTTTTGTAGGTGTTTTTGCTGTTTAGGGTCATTAGGGCAAAGCACAGGTTGTACCACTGTGTCTTTTACGAAGGCAGCCGTGTTTGTTCTATTGTGTATATTTGGTAACTTCTGAGTGGCACACGTCTCTCCTTTGTCATACATTGAGTCTTTGCCCCAGGTGGCTATAGTCACTCAAAATAAGTTTAAAAATATCAGGAGTCTTAAAAGATCAACTTTCTTTTGTTCTATTTATAAAGACCTCATTGTAACTCCTTTGACTGCACAGTCAAAATAGGTCCATAAAGATGGCTTCTGGGGTTTGTTTGGTATCTTACTTTGTATTTCCATTTGTATCAACTCTGCCTGTGGGTGTTATGGACATTCACAGATCCTACAGAAAATATCTGTAAGTTGTATTTTCCACTTACATAACAAAATATGCCATATTCCTGAGATCCTGTTTTAGAGCTTGTGAAGGCAAAAGTAATCCTACACCCCAAGGAGAATCTATATTCAATCTCCACTGAATCCATGGACCCTGATTTGATTCTCAAGGCTCTTAAAAAGATAGGCCACCCTTAAAAGGTACTAGAAAAACCTAGAACTTGCTCTATTATTATCTCTTTTTGAGAAAGCAATAAGAGGATGTTCTTTTCCACATTTTTATGTTGGCTTCTGAAAATACTATCCTTATTAAGTAGCTAAGGTCTAGGGTTCATGAATGGTGCCTTCAATATAGATAAGGTAGGGATGGGGCTGTAAAAAGAATTAAGATGTGTTATATACATGTGCCAACTCCCCACAATGATATAATCATTATGTAATGCAAACATGGGCTAATAAAAAAATGTTAAAAACAGATAAAGGGAAAAAAAATAGATAAGGGCTGGGCGTGGTGGCACATGCCTGTAATCCCAGCACTTGGGAGGCTGAGGCAGGAGAATCATTGCAAGTTCAAGGCCAGCTTGGGTTACAAAGTGAGTTTAAGGCCAGCTTGAACTACAGAGTGAGACCCTGTCTGAAAAAAACAAAACAAAACAAACATAGATAAGGATCTAAGAATGTCCATGTTGGGAGCTAGATGTTTGAAAGAAGGGTGCATTTGAAGGTAAAATATGTTCCTGGTCTGCTCCAGAATGAATGAGTTGCTAAAGGTTAGCGTTTTCTCCCATCTCTAAGATTCTGTGGTTGATATTGTTATCACTGCACTTGTTTTCCTTTCACTCCACTGCCTGTAAATTCTTGCCTCACAGTATAATATTGGCAAAGTACCTTGAGGTTCAATTCAGTAAATATTTATTACCCTTGAAGTTCAGCCCAATAAATATTTATTGAATTGAGCCATTCCACCTGCTAATTACGGAGCATGCAGGGAGACAGACAAGTGAAGAAATGGTACAATAATGCGACCCCAGAAGTACAGGCAAGGTGTGCAGCAGGATGAAAGAGGGAATGCATGACTGCCTGTAGCCACCTCACATCCTCTTTGGGGCAAATCAGCATATAAATAAATAAAGAGAAATAACAGTAGTAGGAGAGGGATGCAGGAGTAGAGTTCTCAAAAATGGATGCCATACAACTAAACGTGGTCTTGTAATGGCTCATTTCCCAAATACAGGTATTTATTTGAACTGAAAGAAGATGACGATGCATGTAAAAAAGCCCAGCAGACGGGAGCATTTTACCTCTTTCATAGCCTGGCTCCTTTGCTTCAGGCAGCAGAAAGTCGATACATGGCACCCCGGTTTAGCTTCCTAGGTAAGCTCAAAGCAGACTGGTGGCCACTAAGCTGCACTCAGCACATACTGGATCACTGAGAAATATCCTTGAATATATGGAGTCCAGATTTTTTTTTAATTTTAAAGAGAAAAAAATTTCAAGACAAGATAGTAGGAGGGTAAGAATGGTTAATAGGTTGCATATTGTTACCTTTAAATTAGTTTGGAGTCCAGATATTTTCAAATACCTTCTGAGTCTTCAGCTCGTATAACTCCTTCTGCCAACGAATAATTTATTTTGTGAAGCTTAGCTGTCCGGTCAAATATATTTGGTGATGGTATAAGCCACTCGTGCCTCAACAAAACCACTACCCAGATTAGACTCGCTGCTTGCGTTATAGATACATTTGTCTTTGAACACAGCCACACTTACTTGTTGACACTGTCTACGGCTATTCTTGCACTGATGGCAGGTAAGCCATTATGAAGAGACTGTATGATCCCAAAGCCTAAAGTAATTAGTGTCTCTTTACAGAGAAGGTTTGCCCACTTGTACTTTAAACTAGTGATTTCCAGCCTTCATAGAGGTACATACCATTTTACTAGAATGTTAGATTTGCATCCTAACTTGATTTTCACTAGAAGATCAGATTTTATGTCTTTTTTTTTTTTTTTTCTTTTGGTACCAGGAATCAAACTCGGTACCTTGCATTTGCCAAGCTGAGCTATATCCCCGGCCCCAGAAGATCAAATTTTAAAGTAAATTAAAATTAATTTATTCTGAGAGCCTTTTCAGAGGTATATACATCACTGGAATTTTCTTTTTTTGAGACAGGGTCTCACTTTGTGGCCCAGACTGGTCTTGTATTTCTATACTCAAGCAGTCCTCCTGCCTGAGACTCCTAAATATTTGGTGCTACAGCTTATGCCACCACACTTGGTTGGGATTTGCTATTTGAATATTAATTTTCAGCTTTATATTGACATATAAATATAGCATATAAATGTAATTAGTCACTATATATTTCTTACTACATTGCTGGTAGATTTCTCTCACGGGTCAGATTTTGGAGTATTTGGGTAAGTAGTTGCCAGCAATGCAGAAGAACACAAGGACTCTTGTTAGAAGGTACTAAACATTATTTAGAGATCTAGCATTGTTATAACATGAACAAATAAATAAGTCTTTCATGGAGAGGACAGGCTTTCTCTCTATACAGCGTTTACCTTTTACAGCCCAGGATCTCAGATAACTATTCCACCTTGGCCCAGCAAAGCAGCAATCTGGAAGTTAATTATAGAACTGGATTGTCCCTACCATCTTAAGTGTAATACGTATTTTTTTAATTCAATAACTTGGCTATTGTGCATCTTCTGAACAAGCGCTATGTCCCTTCCATTGTGTAATTATAATCAGTTACACAGATAGAATTCCTCCTTTGGTCTAAACTCCTGAGATTACTGAGGAGAAGACAGATACCTAGAGAGGTTAGGTGAGTAGACCTATGTTACACAGCTAATTAGCTGCAGGGCAGTTTATACCTTAAGCCAGCACTGGCAAACCTGTAGCACCTGTGGCACAGCAGGCCGTGCATAGCACTGAAAGCCCTGGAGGCTCACCGTCCCTCCTTTAGCCAAGTGTAGCTGGCCTCCGTATCCTCAGGTTCAAACAACTGCAGATCAAAAGTACTTGGAAAAATTTTTTGTCTATACTGAACATATACAGATTTTTTTCTTGCCATCAATCCATAAACCATACAGTATAACCACTATTTACAAAGGATTTGCATTGTATTAGATATAAATAATCCAGAGATGAATTAAAGTACATGGGAAGATGTACATAGGTTATATCCAAATATACCATTTATATCAGGGACTTTAGCATCTGCCTATTTTGACATCTGAGGGGCAACCAGTCCCACAATGATACTGTGCAGCACCTGGTTACTTCCTTTAAGCTGAAGTAGATGATTTCTTGTAAATCTAGTATGGCTGTGGTAATGTCACTGAAATCCTTATTTATTTCCCTTCTTGTTTCTTAGAGGTAGAAAGACTCCTGCATAAGTTTGGACAGGATGCACAAAGAATCGAAGATTCTGTGCTGATTGGATGCTCTGAACAGCAGGAAGCATGGTTTGCTCTGGATCTAGGTCTCAATAGCTCTTTTTCCATACATGGTACATATGACATCATTTTAATGGGCAGCACAATTCTCAGACTTTGGGATTTCACACAGTATCATTTCTAAGAAAATCATGAGGATACAAAAAAGGTTATCAACTCTTTTTTTAAGTAAGGACATAACACTATCATCTATTACCATCATTTAAAATAAAGGACATTTTAATGCTTTCTTTCTAACCTAAGTGGTGGTAGTATTCTCCAAACCATTGTATATTTTATAGTTCTTAAATATTTCATAGGGAATTGACAGTATTCCTTCTCTTACCATTGCAGGGAAAGAAAATGTTACCACAGTACAGCTCCAGGTCCTCAGACCTACATTTGGGAACCACTTTGCTCTAGGTTCAAGGTTCCTCTTAGGCTTTCCTTTGCCTTGAAGGGGTGTGGGTGTGAATGTAATGCTGCTGGAATGGGCTTCAGATAGGAGTTTAGAGACCCATTTCATCTCTTTTCAGGGATAGTGTGTGGCTAATGCAAATGGTCTAACTTCCCTGAATATCTTGACAGATACAGTTCCAATGTTTCCCAAATTGGCCCGACTATAAGAATGACCTGGTACTTCTTAAAGAAATAAAAAGATTTCTGGGGCTTATTCTACACCTCTTGCTTCAGAATAGCCAGGTAGGGTCTTGAGAATCTGTATAGTTTTTCCTTTCTCCAGCTGACTTACTAGGCAAGTTTGGGAAACAGTGCTATAACAACATAGACTGGAGGGGGCTGAGGCAAAGCTTGATATTTGTTTAATTTCATTCTCTTTTCCAATTTTCTAGGCTCCTTACCAAAATCTGAAGTGGAGACAGAGCTCAAGGGGTCTTTCACTGAGCTGAGGAAAGCTGTCTTTCAGCTGAATTCAGTGGATTCCTCCTTGCTATTCACGGTAAATTCGAATTTCTTAATCCCATAGGAAGGGATTAAGTTCTTTCTAAGACTTTGACAAAAGGACAATGAGCTGTAGGAGGATTGCTTATTCTACCTTGTTTTGCCCTTATTTTGGCAGAATTGCTGTCAAGACTATTTTCTCCTAAGGACAGACAGAGCTAAGCAATAGGCATGATTATCAACCTCAGAAACATTTTAATGACATACATCATCATGTTTTTCATATATGAAATAATTTTACATTACATTAGTGAATGATCCTCACAGCTTTAGATTTTCTTTGCTATGGTGTTTTGATTGTCTATTGTAAGAAAAACTTCTAAATATTCTTTAGTTGCAAAAATATTCCAGCTATATTAAGGAAGAATACATTTGATTATTCATACTGGAACTGTTTTATTTTTGTTAGGTTATGAGTACATGGATCTTCATCATATTACTTTATATATATATTTATTTTAAAGGATTCATAATGCATTTTTTAAAATTTTTCATTGTATTTATTTATTTATTTAGTCTTTTTGAGACAGGGTCTCACTATGCAGTTCAGGCTGGCCTTGAGCTCACTTTGTAGCCCAGGCTGGTCCTGAACTCGCAACATTCCTCCTGTCTCAGCCTCCCAAGTGTTGGGATTACAGGCATGTGCCACCATGCCCCGGTTTAATGCATTTTTAAAAAATGCCTCTTATTCTGATTTCCAATGCTAAGGGAATGTTCACATAGTTTCCTTATCTTAAACACTAACCATTTAAAGGCAAATGAGTTAGAAAGGCTCTGACTTTTCCCATGGGTTGCTCTAGATTCTAAACCCAGTGCTGTTACAGATAAGCCCCATGTTTTCTCCAAATGAAACCAGGCCCATCCTTGTATCCCTAGGCTCAGGCTCTTCTCCGGTGGCATGACGGTCATCAGTTCTGCAGCAGAAGTGGGCAGCCCACCAAAAGGAACATTGCTGGCAGCAAGCGCACGTCTCCGTCCAATGACATCATCTATTACCCGCAGGTAAGAGCTGCTGTACAACTGAAAGGTATACTTGTATGTCCTGGGGAAAGAAGCCTGCGAAACTGGAAGGCTTCCTTAATTATCCATTCCTTTGGTCCACTGGGAGGCCCCGCAGTGACAGTGTCTCAATTTCCGTACTCCTTTCCTAGATGGCTCCTGTTGTGATCACTCTGGTGTCAGATGGGACCCGATGCCTGCTTGCCCGCCAGAGCACCTTTCCCAAGGGCATGTATTCTGCCTTGGCAGGCTTTTGTGATATAGGTAAGTATTACAGGGCATGTACAGGCCAGGCGGCACTGGAGGACAGAAAGTCTTTTTTTTTAATGTATATATTTATTTATTTATTTATTTTATTTTTTGGTTTTTCTCTGGTACCGGGAACCGAACTCACGACCTTGCGCTTGCCAGGCAGGCGCTTTGCCGCTGAGCTAAATCCCCAGCCCAGAAAGTCTTATTAATAGTAGGTATTTCTCTGTCTTGTTGCCATAGTGCTTGACATCTCAAGCACATTCTTTCCTCTCATGTCAAGAATGCTGCATTCTGGCACTATGATTTCCCAATATTATGTTAGATAGAATTTCAAACATATAGCATAGTTGGAAGAATTATGCAGTGAACCCCCATACACCTACCCACTTAGGTTCTATAGTTTTTTCACTAACTTGATCACATATTTTTATCTGTCCATCATCTTATTTTTGGAGGGAAGACTGCAAACAATATACTTCTTTCTAAATATTTCAGCATGCATAATACTAAAATTTCATATTTAGTTTTTTGTTTTGATGTGTTTTTGAGCTTATTGGGATAAAATCTACAAATGATGAAAAGAGAAATTTTATTAGAGCTGAGGGTAGCAGCAGCCTCTCCCGCAGCCATCCTGACTGCATTATAACTAACCCAGCAGGTTTCTACACTCAGTCCAGTGTCCAACTCTACTTGATTCCTATTGTTGGAAAGACTCGGCTAGGATACCCCAGGTTTTGTACTCCTTTTACAAATGGGCTATCACAATTCAGGTACAACCTTCCTGCTCCCTGCTGTCCTAAATTAACCCGAGTGCTTACAGGTGAGAATGTGGAAGAGGCTGTCCGGCGGGAAGTTGCAGAAGAGGTGGGACTGGAGGTGGAAAGCATGCAGTACTCTGCGTCTCAGCACTGGCCCTTTCCTAACAGCTCGCTCATGATTGCTTGTCATGCAACTGTGAAACCAGGGCAGACAGAGGTGAGCGCTCATGTTTCCCTTCCGCTGGGATGCTTCCTCTGCTGTGCCCGTCTACTGGCCAGCAAGAGCTTACTCAGCACCTGTCCATCCAGCATTGTCTAGACTACTGTGATGAAGGCATTTTATTCTTGTAAACAAGTGATCACCATTCTCCCTTACACAGATCATTCTTTTTACTTTTTTTTTCTTTTTGAGACCGGGTCTCACTCTGTAATTCAGGCTGGTCTTAAACTATATAGCCCAGGCTAGCCTCAAACTCACTGCAATCCTCCTGCATCAGCCTCCTGATTGCTGGGATTACAGATGTGCGCTACCACGCCCAGCTTCTTTTTATTTTTTAACCATTTTATTGAAGTAAAATTAACATACAAAAAGCAGGAATGTATACACACAACTTGATGGGGTTGGAGATAAGCACATACCCATGAAACCATCCACTGATCCTCATTATCAATGTCCTAAATTTTGGGGGCTGGGGATTTAGCTCAGCGGCAAAGCGCCTGCCTGGCAAGCGCAAGGTCATGAGTTCGGTTCCCGATACCGGAGAAAAACCAAAACAAACAAACAAAAAAAATCCTAAATTTTTCACTTCCAAAGTTTTCTCCTACCCCTTTTTTCTTTTGTGATAAGAACATAAGATTTATCCTTGTACCAAATCTTAATATATTCAACACAGTATTATTAATTGTAGGCCCCATGTTGTACAGGTCTCCAGAACTTATTTTGTGTAAGTGAAACTTAATAGCCTTTGACCAACACCTCCTTGTTTTTATTTTTAGTTTCCATGTGTAGGTGGGATCGTGGGGAATTTGTCTTTCTGTATCTGAGTCTTTTTACTTAGCATGTCCTCCATCATATTGTTACAATACAGGGTCCCCTTCTTTTTAAGACTCAATAATTTTCCATGTGTATCTGCCCACGCTTGCTTTATTCATTTACTGATGGACATTTAAGATGTTTCCGTATCCGGGCTGTCGTGAATAATGTTGCTGTTAGCACAGGAGTAGGTACTCGTTTGAGATCCAGATTTCAACTCATTTGGATACATATACCCAGAAGGGGGACTGCTGGATCAGACAGTAATTCCATTCTAAATCTTGTAGGACCCTCCATACTGCTTACTGGCTGCACCAACTTACATTTTCCCCAACCGTGCACAAGCTTCCCTCTTCTCGATTCCCTTACCAATGTTTGTTGTCCTTTGTTTCGTTTTTTGATAACAGCCATCCTACCAGGTATGAGGTGGTATCATATTGTGGTTCTGATTTACATTTCTGTAATGATTAGCTGTGTTCAACATTTTTTTCATGTGTCTTTTTTTTTGGTACTGGGAATCGAACTCATGACCTCAGGCTTGCCAGGCAAGTCTTTATGCCGCTGAGCTACATCCCCCGCCCTCATGTGTCTATTGGTCAGTTGTATTCTCTTTTGAGAAATGTCTGTAGAGGTGTTTAACACTTTTAATTAGGTTATTTGCTATTGAGCTGTAGGAGTTCCTTACATTAAGATAGATATAGTCTTCAACTATTTTCTCTCATTCTGTAGAGTGCCTTTCCATTTTGTTGTTTCCTTTTTAGTTTGAGGTAATCCTATTTTTACTTTCATTGCCTGTGATTTTGGTGTCATATCCAAAAAATCATTGCACAATTCAGTGTCTAGAAGCTCACTCCCTTGTTTTCTTCTCAAAGGTTTATGATTTTAAGTTTTACTTTTAAGTATTTAATCCATTTTGAGTTGTTTCTTGGTATATGGTGGAAGGATCCAATTTTAAGCTGAGCATGGTGGCACCCACCTGTAATCCCAGCACTCGGGAGGCTAAGGCAGGAGGATCGTTGCGAGTCCAAGACCAGCCCGGGCTACAAAGTGAGCTCAAGGCCAGCCTGAACTGCACAGTGAGACCCTGTCTCAAAAAAAAGACCAAAAAGAAAAAAAGAAGGATCCAGTTTTATTTATTTGTATGTGGATATGCAATTGTCCCAATACCATCTATATAAAGCAATTTATCTTTCACCTTCAGATTATAACACTATTTTACATATAGTAGGCATACAAAACATATATCAGGGGCTGGGGATTTAGCTCAGCAGCACAGCGCCTGCCTGCCAAGTGCAAGATAGTGAGTTTGATTCCCGGTACTGGAGAAAAAACAAAAATATATATTTAATTTAATGACCAACTTCAGGATTGATTTTATTGATCAAGTCAATCAAGGTTGTTGGGGACTACTGATACAATTATTGAAAGAGCCTTTTCTTTTGAGACAGGGTCTTGCTTTGTAGTTCAGGCTGGCCTGGTGCTGGGATTACAGGCTTGAACCACTATGCCCCACTGAAAGGGACTTAGATGTTGTCTTATCTAACCTTATCTTGCTCTTCTGTAGCATCCCTGACAGGTAACACTGTAGTCCTGTCTGCCAAAGCCTGCCTATTGTGTGTATTGGCTTTAGAGGATATCTATTTCAACTTCACTATGGACAGAGTTTGCATTACTTTGCTTTTGATTATCATTAACTCCTACTCTTAAAGTTGGTTCTTTTTTTAATTCACAGAGTTACACAATGATGGAAGCACAAAGAAAAACAAGTATTGTTCATAATTTACCATTCAGTGTTGCCACTCAATATCTTAGTATTTGTACTTGCAGGTTTTTAGTGTGTGTGTGTGTGTGTGTGTGTGTGTGTGTGTGTTGGAAATTGAACTCAGGGCTTCATGCATTGCTAAACCTGTGCTGGACTACTGAGCTCCACCTCTACTTTTATGCTCTCAAGACTTTTATGTATCTATCTTTGTTTCACTATGTAAAAAAATGCATTTAATTCTCATTTCTTAGTTATGCTTCTTTTTTTCTGGGATATATCTGGAACTAATTTTCATCTCACTTGTAAAGTCCAGGTGTTATTTTCCAAGACTACTAGGTTCTATAACAACGTTCTTACATTGGACCACAGTATTTCACATTTTATAGTTTCTAATTATACATTCTTTCCTTCTTTGTCTTTCAGATCCAGGTGAACTTGAGGGAACTAGAGGCAGCTGCCTGGTTTAGTTATGATGAGATAGCCACAGCACTGAGGAGCAAGGGCCTCTATATTCAGCAACAGAATGAGACTTTCCCCTTCTCCGTGCCCCCCAAGTTAGCCATTGCCCACCAACTGATTAAGGAGTGGGTGGAAAAACAGACATGTGCTTCCCTGCCTGCTTAGCTCAAGCCCTCAAGATCTCTCCTGGGTATCACTTAAGGACATTCTGGAAACCCAATGTAAAGAAAGTGACAACAGGACCAGCTCCAAACCAGACATGATAGCACATGCCTGTAATCCCAGCCCTGTAGGAGGAGCAGTTTAATGATTTAGAAAGACACTGTCTCTAGCTGGGTATGGTGTTGCATGCCTGTAATTCCAGCTCTTGGGAGGCTGAGGCGGGTGGATTGCTGTGAGTTTGAGGCCAGCCTGGCTACACAGTGAGTTCAAGTCCACACTGAACTACAAAGCGAGACCTTACCTTTGCCCCCCAAAAAGAGAAAGATGCTGTCTCAAAAAAAAAAAAAAAAAAAGAGGGGGCCCAGGCAAGACACCTCCATCAGCAGTGTTAATGAAAGAAGTTCCCACTAATGAACAATTAAAAATGCCAGTGTAAGCCACACGTGCTGGCACGGGCCAACCATCTCTACCACTTGGGAGGCTGAGGTAGAACTGCCTGAACCTAAGACTTCAGGGACTATCTAAACAACATTACAAGATGCTGTGTTAAAAACAACGTGAGAGAAAAAACTAATAAAGTATCAGCCATCAAAGTCGGAGGGAAGGGTGAAGATTAGTTTAAATGTAGTCCTCTGATCATCCGTTTTCTCCAATTAGGAGCAAATATCAGCAGATAGCTCGTTTATGTTGTTTATACTAAATGCCAAAATATGCCTGGGTACTTCTGGTTTAAACCTTTTTCCCACTATTTAAAATATGTAACAAATATCAAGTCTACTTAGTTACTTCTTATCTGCCACTGACAGAATAAGGAAAAATAGCATAGAGTAACATTTTAAAATTATTTATTTTTTAGTGGTACAGGGGATTGAACCCAGGAGCACTCCTACCACTGAGCTATACCTCCAGCCTTTTAGATTTTTGTATTCTAAGATAGGGTCTCACAAAGGTGCCCAGGCTGGCCTTGAACTTCTGATTCCACTAGCTCAGCCTCCTAAGTAGCTAGGATTATAGGCATATGCCATCATGCTTACAGGTATATTGTTGTACTTTTAAATAAAAGCTGTATTCTTTAAGTCATCTGAAGGATGAGAAGAGTGAGAACTGAGGTTCTCCTCAGAGGCTGAAGTGCTGTCACGGCAGATGAATCCCAGTGGGACTCAAATGATTGAAGACTTGTGTTCTCAGCTGTGACTCAGTTTGTGACCCAGAGGAGAGAGTATCAGTTTACCATGCTCATTTTCCTAAACATGAAATAGTCACTGACATTTGTACACCCAGACGGTTTTGATTAACCTCAATTAAAGATCAGGAAACGGGGCCGGGGATATAGCTCAGCAGCACAAGTGCCTGCCTGGTAAGCGCAAGGTCCTGAGTTCAATTCCTGGTACCAAAAAAAAAAAATTCAGGAAACATTTTTTGAACCTGTGGGATATAACTAAATTTAAAGATCCATCATTCATATATGTCCTGTATACTTGTCACAAAGAGGTGTTTATTTGGGGGAAATAAATCTCCATACCTTTGTTCAGATGTATTTTTTTTCTGCTCTATGAATCAAGGAAAATTTGGAAAGTGCCTACCTGTGGTCTCAGCACTCCTGGAGGCTGAGGCAGAAGAACTGCTGTGAGTTCGGGCCAGCCTGAGCTACATAGTGAGTTCAAGGTCAGCCTGGATTACATAGCAAGACCCTGTCTCAAAAAAAAAAAAGAAAAAAAAAGCAAGAACAATTTCTTTTGGTACAACAATAAAATGTTTACATCTAGATTCTAGATTTCAAAATGTGCAGAAGCAATAGTCTTATGGGTTTAGTTAAAAATAATAGCTGGGGAAGGTGGTTCTAGACACTAATTTTTTTTTTTTTTTTTTTGGTTTTTCTCTGGTGCCGGGAACCGAATTCACGACCTTGTGCTTGCCAGGCAGGCGCTTTGCCGCTGAGCTAAATCCCCAGCCCTAAGCACTAATTTGTGATTAAAAGGTATAAGCCTCAGAAATCTTAAGATTTTTCACATATTGAGTCCCATAGAACTAAGCAAAAGAAATGCCAGAATTAGAAAAATTAAAGCAGAGAATCTCCTTTTGATCCCAAAAGTTCGCTGCTGTCTTTATTACCAGAAAACTATTATTGCTTTGAGAAACTAAAAGTGCCCTCAGCTAGAATTCTTGAGGGATAATACGTGCTAGGACTTGATTGTCCTGTTAGGTTGGCAGCTTGCCTTTACCTGGGGTGAACTCTGCTTTTAGAAGGAAAACACATTCAGGAAAAAGAGGGCCTGAGATTTCTTCATATCTTGCAGTCAGAAGAAAACAGTTCAGGGTCCATGTGTGCTACTGTCTCCCAATCATTTCCATCTCTGTGGGTGTGTTTGTGAGCACATGTGTACACATCCCTGGTCTGAAAATACTGATAGAAGGGGGGTGCAGGGTTCCTGGTTATGAATTTCTCAAACTTACCATGGAGTAACTGTTTGCTTTTTGATTAATGTGTTTTTTGGAAAAGCAAAATGAGAGTGACCAGTAGAAGCTGCAACCCTGCAGTCTGTTTTCCCAGCAGGAGCGGTTAAGAGGGCACTGCCATACAAATTCTATGAAAGCAGAAGGCAGGGTTGTTGTACTGAAAATGGCAGATGAGCTCGCACAGCGCTGCCTGAGTGGAGAGGGCATGTATGTGGCAGTGAATTATGAAAGTGCTACCTATGGATAAATAGAACCCAGCAGAGCTATGATGCAGACTAGCAAAAACAAGCAAAACCTTAAAACAAGTACATCTGTCGCCAAAGGGAGCCTGCCTCAAGGTCAGTTAACCCTGGTAATAGGAATAAAAACCCAACTCACCGATTTCTTACTTCTGCTTATTTCCCTTTATCGACTCAACATTTATGAAGATAAACTTAATATACCAAAAGTACATTGTGGGAAGATTTTCTTAAAATCAAGCTGGGATAGGATTCTTAACGTGTGAAACAAATTATAAGGCTGGCTTACCCAAAACATTTTAAATTATTAACATTATTTAAAATGTTAAAGCATTGCCTTATGCAGTAAAAAGAAACATTTCCATCCCACGCTTTCCTAAATCAGTGTGCAGCACTGTTCCTGCTCCTCTGCTCATTTCAGCCACGTCCCTGTGGGAATAAGAGGAAGGGCTGGGCGGGAGCGCGGGCTTCGCGTGCGATGCAGACCCCGCACAGGAGCGCCGCCGCCGGGTTCTCCCGCTCTTCCCTTGGTTCGCTGTATCCGCTGGCTCTGCATTCTTGGATTCAACTGTCAACTGAAAATATTCAGGGAAATACAGCACAGGTATTTTCTTGTAATTATTCTCTAAGTAATACAGTATAACAATTATTTACATAGCACACAAACTGAATTAAAGTAAGTAATCCAGAGATGAAATATAGAGGATGTGCATAGATTATATACAAATACTATGCCATTTAAAAATTTTTTAAATTTATTTTTAAAATCAAGTTTATTGGTACAATGTAGATATACATAGTAATCACATTCCTCATTGGGAATTTCTATCTGTACACGATGTATCTTAATTCCTCTTTTTTTCCCCTTCCCCTCCTCTCCCTTTAAGCCCTCTTCCCCTCCTTATTTACAAAGCCTTGTTTCCATTTTATCCTTTTCTCATTTTTCTTCTTTTCCCTTCCTTCCTTTCTCCCCCTGGCAACTCCCCTTTCTTTTTGAACAATTTCTTCTTATTTCACAATTTTTGTTACATTTTGGTTCTTATTTATATTTTCAATTTCTCACACCAGACAGACGTGATATTTACATATGTGTGTCTAATTTATTTCACTTAAGAGTATGGTCTCGAAATCTACCCATTTAGCTATGTCTCAAGTTTATTCTTCTTTATGGCAGAGAAGTACTCCATTACATAAAAAAAAAAAAACCCACATCTTTTTTATCCATTCCTCAATTGTTGGGCATTTGGATTGTTTCCAAGATTTAGCTATTATAAACTGTGCTGCTATAAACATGGGTGTGCATATATCACTGTGGTATGATGCTTTTAATTCTTTTGGGAAGATACCCAGAAGGGGAATAGCTGGGTCAAACAGGACCTCCAATCCTAGTTTTTTGAGGAATCTTCACACTAATTTTCACAGAGTGAAAACTAATTTGCACCGGTCTATACTCCCTCCAACAGTGGAGATGGGTTCCTTTTTCCCCACAGCCCCTCCAGCATTTGTCATTGGTTGATTTCTTGATAACAGCCATTGTGTCTTGACTGCGATAGAATCTCAGCATTGTTTTAATTTTACTATGCCATTTCATATAAGGGACTTGAGAATTTATGGATTTTGATAAAGGGGGGGGCCCTTGAATGAACCCCCATGGATTTTGAGGGATGACTGTACCGCCACCGTTTTTACTTTGATAGGCAAAATATAGCAAGGGCATCTTTTTGCTGTTTTTTAAAAATTTTTTAAATTTAATTTTATTTATTTTTTGTTTTTTTGAGACAGGGTCTCACTATGCAGTTCATGCTGACCTTGAGCTCACTTTGTAGCCCAGGCTGGTCTTGAACTCACAACGATCTTCCTGCTTCAGTCTCCCGAGTGTGGGATTACAGGCGTGTACCACCACGCCCGGCTCTTTTTCCTGTTTATAGATAAGATTTTATTCATTTTAAGAGGAAATGAAGACCATATGAAATAACCATTTTTCCTAGTACAGACATATTAGTTATATTAAATATCAAATCTCAGTTTGAACTAGTATCGATGTATGAACTATCCAAAATAGGCAACTCCACAGAGACAGAAAGTACATTAATGGTTTCCAGGGGATGAGAAGAAGGGAACAGGGAGTAATCATTCATGAGTACAGGGTTTCTTTGTCAGGTGACGAAAATATTGTGGAAGTAGACAGTGATGATGGCTGCATAATTTTGTAAATATACTAAAAACTGTGGTACTGTAGACTTTATACAAATTTTTTTGGTATGTGATTATGTCTCAGTAGAGCTACTGTTTAAAAAGTAAGTACTGCTGGACATGGTGGCACACACCTGTAATCCCAGCACTTGGGAGGCTGAGGCAGGAGGATAGTTGCGAGTTCGAGGCCATCCTGGGCTACAAAGTGAGCTCAAGGCCAGCCTGAACTGCATAGTGAGACCCTGTCTTAAAAAAAAAAAAAAAAAAAAAGTACTTTATCCTACCTGACTGTACACTTAAGATTTGTACATTTTATGCCTCATTTAAAAAGTTCAGAAAAAAGGGAATAAACTGGAATTTTGCCAATTTGAAATTCTGACCTGTAGATCAATACAATTAAGGGAGAAATCACATATTCAGAATTACACCAAGGGAACATTGTGGTATGGCATTTTCTTACCATAGACTGTCTAAGCCTCCTCATCTCAGAGTCTGTCCTGTAGCCTGATCCTATCCTGCTGATTGCAGAATCTCACGTATACCTGAGCTAAGATCACAAAGCGTTGTGCAGAGGATAAGATTTGGGACTAGGGAGGAGACAACCTGTGAAACTCACAATGAAGAAACGTTTTTACCGAGTGAATAAACTAGACATGAACTCATTTGGACTCACTGTTTATTTAAAGAGGAAAGCAAAGCTAGATGTGTGGGCTAACCTTTCACCGGCTTGCTTGCGGCTCTGTGATCGCTGTTGTCAGGCAGCTGCACGCCCATGCTCTGTAAGAGGTTTGAGGCGGGCCCCGCCAGGCCAGCTTGGGAGCTGTAGGATTCCAATATATTTGAAACTAGGTTCAGGTCGACATCCACTGGGGCCATAACAGAATCTCTGGCCCCAGAATCTTCCTCATCTGAATTGTTACTGTTAGTCTGTGATGAAGGCTCCTTATTCTAGAGGGAAAAGAAAATCACAGAATTAAATCCCCTCAGAGTGGATAGCAGTTACAATAAAAAGCTGTAAGCAGTAATGTACATACGAATTCCAAATTAAAACTTAAGAAACTTTTATATCCTTTGTGATATAAAAATGAAATCTAATAAACAGGTGATTTAACACATATATTAAAAGTTACTGCTGGGCATGGTGGCACATGCCTGTAATCCCAGCACTCCGGAGGCTGAGGCAGGAGGATCGCTGTGGTTTTGAGGTGTTACAAAGTGAGTTTGAGGGGCTACAAAGTGAGTTCAAGGCCAACCAGAATTGCATAGTGAAACCCTGTCTCAAAAAGACGGGAAAAAACAAAACAAAACAAAAACAAAAACCCTAAAGATTACAACATGCTTCATTCTAGGAAAAATTACTATAAATTGAATGCTTTTGTCCTGATTTTGAAATAGCCCAAAGGAAATCACTAGAATTAAAGAGATACTTTGCTTGCCTTTTTAAAAAAAGAAACAAAAAAGAACATTGGAAAACCCACAAGAATCTGAACTTTTCTTCTAAATGGAAGAAGCTAGATTTCTTTTTCTCCCCCAGTGACAAAGTTTAAAGGAAAAACTAAGGCTTTGTGGGGTTCAACCACAAAGACTGACTTGTTACTTGGCCGCAGATGTCACAGGTGGGGAGAGGTTCTGAAAGACTGCGGGCTGATCTACAGGCTCTTGTGGGACTGGACTCAAAGTGCGGTCCGTGGAGCAGCAGCGTCTGCGACCTTCTAGTCTTGCTAGACACACAGAATCTCAGGCTTCCCCTCAGACTTGTTTAAAAAAGAGCCTTAGGTGATTTGTATTCACAAAGAAATCTAAGATATATTCCTTTAAATAAATCTAATGTGTGGCTTCTAATAGGGGCTGGCAATGCTGAAAATGATTAGTTTTAAATGGGGTTAAGATAATGAAAGCAAGGAGAATGAACATTAATTAGGAAGTCTATTATACACGGGCTTCACCATTGTCTCCTTTGGTTCCCATTGTTAGTTCTATGAAAGGAGGATTAGTGGCTAATGGAAACATTCACATGGATGGCTGAGTCGGATTTCGAACCAATCCTATGAAAGTCTGGGGCCCATGTTATTTCCATAATGTCTCTATCTAGAGATAGACAGTGTTGGCATAAATACTAGGGTAAAAATGTGAATGAATTCTAAATTTGGTTCTTTATTAGGAAAATGTACAACACAAACTACTGACTTGAAATTATTTAGATATTTAAGATCCTCTCTCAGAATCCACTTATTATGATCCATTTATTATTCGTCTAAATAGTAACAGTGTACAACCACATATTAATTTGAGCCTACTATATGATCCTTTATTGTATAGCTGTCATAGGATAGGCAATACAATTAAATTTATGTTAGAAACTAAAGTTAACTATACTTTTTTCCCCCTGATGCTGAGGATTGAACCTCAGGCCTCATTGATGTTAAGCACATGTTTTACTCCTGAGCTATACCACAGGATCCCTCCTTTTTTTGAGACGAGGTCTCACTACACTGTCCAGACTGGCCTCAAACTCTTAGGCTCAAGTGATCTTCCAGCCTTAGCTTCCTGAGGAGCGAGGAAAACAGCACGTGCCACTTTGCTTATATCATCATTCATCCTAAAGAAAAAATTAGTATTCTTGGGGCTGGGAACATAGCTCAATGGTAGTATATGTCTACCACCATAAGGTTCTGAGTTCCATCCCCAGGCCATATTAAACAAAAAAAAAAAAAAAAAGAAAAAGAAATTAGCAATCTTACTTATTTCAAAACTCAAATCAAAAGAAAAGAAAACCTAAGATAAAATATGACTTTAGCTATTCTACATGCTAGACTGGAAAGGGAAAGAGGGTACAAACACTCACCACTTGCTTCCTAGTCATAAAACTTTTGCCAATGCTGGTGTGTGCCAGTTCCTGGTCCATCTGGGCCATGTATGACTTGAGACTATCAAGAGTTCCTTTCAGAGAAGCTTCTTCGCCAGGTTCCTGAGTCTCAAGGTCCATGTCATCATCACTGTCTAAATATTCAAAGTCTTCCTCATCCAGATCATCAGAGTCTGAATCCTGTGTCTTTGGCCCTGTACAAGACCCCAATATAGGAAGAGCCACTTGTACATTTTTCTGAGCGATTACCTTCCTTTTCAAAAGAATTAGCATATTACCCATAGAAAATAACCAATATAGACAGTCAAACTACTTCACAAAAATCCCTTCAAGAAATAGTAATGCTAGCTGGGTATGGTGGTGCATACCTGTAATCCCAGCACTCGGGAGGCTGAGGCAGAAGGATCATTGCAAGCTCAACACCAGCCTTGGCTACGAAGTGAGCTCAAGGCCAGCCTGAAC